GGTCCTGTAAGAAAGGGAAGATTAGTGTGGAAAACACCCTTTGCAGCAGCTGGTGTTTGAGGACGGAATTCTAAGCAGGGGTGGGGATACAGAGTGGAGAGAAAACTCACACAGATACCTAGAAAATAAGCTCCAAGAGATGACTCAGGCTACCATTTATGGTGTAGCTACAGTGTTCTGGGTACCGTGCCAACTGCATTGCCCATTATCTTAATCATGTCAACAGTCGGCAGAAGTTACTGCTGGGCTCCTCACTGTACCATCACTGAAGGAGCCCAAGACCACACAGACTGGAAGAAATGGCAGATTCACCACTCACCCTCAAAACTGACCCAATGCCAACGTAACCCATCCTCTCAGTATCCCTGGGCCTATTTTGTTCAGCCACTGGAGACAAGTCTGGGTATTCACCTGGTGTCCCACTGGGCGTTCACCTGGTGCCTATCATCTTTCAAGGTTCGGGCATCATTTTCACTGATTCGTCTCCTTTTCTTTTCCTTTGTTTTTTTAAATTTGCTTTTTTGAGACAGGGTCTCACTATGTAGACCAGACTTAGATCGCACTCACAGAGATCGGCCTGCCTCTGCCTCTGCAGGGACTACCTCGCCCGGCCTCGCCTGCTTTCCTAATCTGTTCTCCAGGAGGCTGTGCCCAGCAGGGAGCACATAGGACTCAGAGAAAGAAAGTGGCAGCGACCAGCCTTTCCCACTCCGGGGTGATAGTGAACAGAAAGTTATTTACAAAAACACCACACCAAACAAGACCCTCCCTTCCCTGACTCACTGAAGCTGTGCTGGGAACAGCCAGGGGTCACCAAATGGCATCCAGATGGTAACTGGCTGCGGTCCCTAACGCCAGAAGCCTGGGGCAAAAGGCACAGGCGGCCCACCTGCTACTCGGGACCTGTGAACTATCCACTTTGTACAAAAGGCCTGGCAGTTCTCCCCTCCTGAATCCCCTCTGCGATGGCTCTCCAGCAGAGACTGGCCCGTTGCAGCGTTCCAGGGACTCCCGCAGGCTGGGCTGTGCATCGATGGACTCCATCCTCTGCATCATGCGGACAGGCAGAGCTGACCCGGGCAGCTCGTCGTACCACAGCTCCGAGGGAACCGAACTGTAGGGCTCCCGCCCCCCTCCAGGAACCTCGGAGGACGGCAGGCGCTGAAGGCCAGGGAAGGCTCCGCAGTACGTTCCAGAACAAAGAGTGCGGCCAGGGCCTGGGAGAGTTCGTGTTCCCGGCCTCTTTCTATACGCTCCCCCTCGGATCCCCGAGGCCACAGGCCGAGGCGGTTATCAGGTCCTGCAACGCAGGGCCTTTGTCTCCTTCTCGGCCGACCCGCGGGCAGGGCGAGGGGCCTACAAACCCTCCTGACCCTCCCAGCGCTTTGTTATCTCGCAGGGAAGATTACGCTTCCTTGGGCGCAGGCAACTGCCAGGCGCCCTGGCCTTCCGAGCAGGTCGGGCCTCCGCGTTCGCTACTCCCGGGGGCCTGCGGCAGCCGGAGCTGCCCCAGCACGGCTCCGGGCTGAGAATCTGCGGCTCAGAAAGGGCAGGCTGAGCGCAAGGCTGCAGGGGAGCGGGGCTGCAGGGGAGCGGGGCTGCAGGGGAGGGCAGGGCTGCAAGGGAGCGGGGCTGCAGGGGAGCGGGGCTGTAGGGGAGGGCAGGGCTGCAGAGGAGCGCAGGCGCCTGTCCCAGGACTCAGCTGCCATCTCCAGGCCTCGCGCCTTCATCCAGCCTCCCTAGCTCTTTCCTGGAGAGCAGGTAGAGGCACAGAAGACAGTGGGCCGTAGGCTAGGCCCTTCAACACCAAATTGGCACATCGCTTTTCCATTTCTGTTTCCACCTCTTCTAGGTGTTGCATATTCTCCAGATGGCTCCCAGATCAAAAGGAAAAAGGGCTGGGTTATAAAATTATTATAATATTTTATAAATGTATTCACACACACACACACACACACACACAGATTGATTTATTATATTATTGTAGGATCGAACCCTGGCTAGGTAAGCACATTTTCACTGACACTGAGCCATATCCCCAGCTCAGTGCTGTATTAAAAACTTCTTCTTGGGGCTGGAGAGATGGCTTAGTAGTTAAGAGCACTGACTACTCTTGCAGAGGACCCAGGTTTGATTCCCAGCACCCTTATGGCAGCTAGCAACTGTTCTAATTCCAGTTCCAGGGGAATCCAACACCGTCTTCTGATCTTTGAAGGCATTGCACTACGTGGGTACACTTACATACATGCAGGCAACACTCTCTCTCTTCTCTCTCATCTTTCTCTGAGGCAAGGTCTCCCTGTAGCCCCAGCTTACTTTGAACTGTCTAGGTAGACCAGGATGACCTCCAGCTCCCATGGATCTGCCTGCCTCTGTTTCCCAAGTGCTGGGACTAAAGGCATGCACCATAACGCCTGCCCAAGTTTCTGTTTTTTTTTTTTTTTTAATTTAGTTTTTATTTATTCATTTGTTCAACAAGTGCTTACTGTGTATTTATTCTGCAGCCACTCAATAAATTCTCTGTCTCTGTCTCTCTCAGCTGGAGTTTGAATCCACCCAGGTCATTGGTCATTGAGTATGTTAAGCACTAGCTCTACCACTAAGCTAAACATCCAGCTTTGTCATGCATGGTGGTAGCTTACGACTCTTGTCCCAGCATGCAGGAGGCAAAGGTAGGAGAGGATTATCTCAAGTTTAAGGCCATCTGAGCTACAGAGTGAAACTCTGCCTTAAAAAGTAATAATAAATCAATAAAGCCTACTGTATTTCTCCTCTCCCCTCCCCTCTCTCTCACTGGTGATTGAATCCAGGGTTTTAGGAAATAAACATTTCTTGAGTGCCTATGTGCATCTGTGATAACATTAGGCAGTGTACTATTCTCTTAACTGGTGGGCACATAAAAAAAAGAAAAACCACATTGTAAAGACTTTTCTTAAATTTGGAGGGAGTAGATGCATCTTGTTTGGCAGTCAAGCTTCCACAACTTTGGTTGAAGGTTTGTGATGACTTTTACTTGTATAACACTTTCAATGCAATGACATTCAATATTCAATTTGATTCTCATGAGGGAGACTCACAGGGACACTTCTTACTTGATTTTATCAGATGCATGACATGTCAAGTCTATGAGAGGTGGATCAGGTGGAAGTGTCCTTTATACCTAGTATGCCATACTTCTTCCCACCCTACCACTGGTCCCAAACCACTAGACATCGCAGCCTCACATCACAGCCACCATGGAGTCTTAGGAAAAAACGATGGCTTCTTTTTTTAAAAATTTAATTTAGGGAACTGGAGGGATGGTTCAATGCTAAGAAGACTTGCTAGTCTTCCAGAGGACCCTGGTTCGATTCCCAGCACCCATATAGCGACTATCAAACATCTGTAACTCAGGAGATCTGACCCCCTCTTCTGGCCTCTGTGGGTATTGCACTAGACAAGTGCATTTATATCATGCAAGAAAAGCACTCATATAAGTAAATAAATAAAATTTTAAAAATTAATTTAATTCGTATGTGTGGGGAGAGCTCAGAGGAGAATTTTCAAGAGCTGATTGATTTTCTCTTTTCACTGAGGTTCTGGGGACCAAACTTAGGCTCTCAGACTTGTGAGTCAAGCACTCTTATCTGCCCATCCATCTTACCCATCCCATGTTCCTTCTTTCTTCTTTTTTTTGGGGGGGGTCATTTTGAGACAGGGTCTCCATGTAGCCCCAGCTGGCCTGGAACTTGCTATGTAAACCAGGCTGGCCTCTACCTGTAAGTACTGAGCTGAAAGGCCTTCACCACCACACCCAGCCCCCGTCCTCTCTCTTCCTTTCCTCTCTCTCTCTCTCTTCTCTCTTTCTGCTATATAGCAAGTCTATAGGCATCTGTCATTAAGTCAGGCTCAGGCTTTCAGGCTTTGCTGTGGATCAAACCTCCATCTACCAACTGGGCTACATACCCAGCCCATTTTGTTTCATTTGAGACAGGGTCTCTAGAACAAGCTGAACTCCAACTCCCTGCGTAGCCGATGATGATCTTGAACTTCTGATTCTCTATTCTCCTAGCTAGGACTGCAGGTGTGCACAGTCATTTTTGGTTTATGTGGTGCTGGGGACTGAGTTCCTGAATTCTAGACAAGGACTTAACCAACTGAGCTATATCCTCAGCACCTCCTTCTTGGGATAGCTTGATTTGTCATGTCTGAGTAGGCCCAAGCATTTGTACTTTTTCAAAGATCCCAACAGGACTCATGTCCAGTGGCCTCACTGGATTAAAGAATCACAGTTTATGTCACTCTGTGGAAGGTTCTGGTAGGCATTTCAGCCACCTTCCCTTGGTGCCATAGCATTTGGGGGGGGGGGTTCTCTGGGTTGGCTCTGATCAATTTCAGGTCAAAAGACACTCTTCCCTTTCCAGCACTCAGTCTTTGCTTGCTTCCCGAACATTCCCTGAAAGTTGGAGACTTCTAGAAGTCACCAAAAATGTCACTGTAGAATGTGCAGAGTCCATCCCAGGGTGGACCACAAAACCTAAATTATGTAGCTGGGGAAAGTTGAGATCCAAGGAAAGGGTCTAAGGGGGAGGTCGACCCACGCATCAATAAAAACAGGTTGTATTTATTGTGAACGATGTGCAAGTACTATACATTCCTCCACTCCATGTGCAAAGCACCATCATTCCCCGTTACAGATGGGAAAACTGATTTAGAGCAGGAAAATCATTCCTGCAAGGCACACAGATACCAGCCAGACCTGCCAACGATAGCCTCAGGGCTCTAGTGTCTTCCGGAGCCTCCAAATTGTTGATCTATCCAGGGCCTGAAATTCGGGCGAGGTTCAAATCGGGGGAGGGGGAAGCGAGAGCGCCAAGGGGGACCAGACCTTAGGACAACTCAGGCAGCTCCGGGCTTCGGCCCGGGAACTACAAGGCCCAGCAGGCAGCTGCAGGGGGAGGAGGAGGGGCGGGACTAGAATGGGGTGGGAGAGAGCGAGCCCTCGCGCCTCGCTGGCGCAGAGCGCTCCTGCGGGCACTGTAGTGGCGGCGGCGGCTGGTGGCGCCGAGCGGGAGCGGGACGCCGGTGCAGCCGCAGCGCGACGAGGAAGGCGGGCTGCGCGCGGAGCCGGGCGGTCACGTCCGGGCTGGACCGAGACTGTGCTTAGCGCATTGCGGCGACCTCGCCTTTCCCGGCCGCAAGCGCGCGCCGCAGCTGGAAGAGCGGCGGGGATCCGGGACTTTTCTCGGGTCCCAAGGCGCTCCGCAGGGCGCACCGCACCCGTGCTGCAGTCCGGCGCTCCGTGGCCCCCGCGGGGCGATGGAACCCGGTCGGCCAGCAGCCTGAGGCGCCGCCGCCGGGTTCTAGAGAAGGGGGCGCACGTTCTGGGGACCCCGGGCGGCGGACCCGAGCCCTCCCCCCGCGCCCCGCCTCCGGGGCACCAGCTTCGGCTCCATTGTTCCCGCCCGGGCTGGAGGCGCCCGGCTCCGAACGCCGCCGGGAGTCGTGCCTCGGCCGCAGACCTCTTGCCGCCAGGCCAGGACCCGAACGGAGCCCGGGGACAACGGGCCGGAGCTGGAGACGCCGACACCCAGCGGGTCGCCTGCGCCTCGGCGAGCTCTCCAGAGGCGGAACCGCAGCGCCAAGTGAGGTACGAGTCACAGCGCCCGCACGCCCGGGCGGCTGGGCATCTGAGGGGCCCCAAGCTGGAGCCCCGGGACTGCGCGCCCGGCCCCCGCAGCCCTCTGCCAGCCGGCGCCTCCCTCTGCCCGCCGCCTGCGGCTCCGCTCCTCCCGCTCCCCCACCCCGCGCGCCTATCCTCCCTCCCTCCTCCTGCGCCCCCTCCCCGCAGCCCGCAGCTCAGGCCCGCGCCCAACTTTTCCGCCAACTCGCGCTGCGGAGCGGGCGCGGCGGCCGCGACTCCGCGGTGAGACCGGGCGGGGATCGGGCCGAGAAGGAGGCGGCGGAGGCCCTGGGTTCCCGAACCTGGAAGGAGGGTGCAGTGGGCAGCGAGGTGGAGGGTGCGCGCGCGCGCGCGAGTGTGTTGACCTCCATATCTGCACTCCATCTCTCTGGGTCCGCTTGGGAAGGAAGGGTCACCCAGATCCAGCCGCCGGCTTTGGGCACAACGCCCCAGATCTGGGATCTTTTCAAGTATATTTCCACTTCCGGGCAAGTCTGGGGTCCAGGTTGGGGGCCTGAGGAGGAAGGGAAGTGAGGGGAGAGTCTGGGAATAGGGTTTAGAGAGGTGTCGTCACCAAATGGCAGCCTGTCTGCGCGGAGAATCCCCTTCTCAGGGGGTGATGCTCGACCTAGTCTTAGACCTAGAGGGTTGGGAAAGGGTGGAAGCCTGGAGAAGGACCAGTGGGTGAGTCAAGCTCTGGCCAATGCGGGGTTCACCGCGCTCTGCGCAGTTGGGGAGGGATGAGGTTTGTCCCGTGCGGCTCCTCGGCGCTTGTTGCTTCTTCGGCTCGGACCCCTCGTCTGCGCCCCCCGCGTCCTCTCCTGACGTGCCCCGGCGGATACGAGAGAGAGCCTAGAACCCGTGTTTCTGGGGGAATTTACTGACGTTGTGGATGGGGTTTGTTAGACACTTGCCTCCTAGGACGCAGTTGGACACCTCCGGCGTACGGGAAGGGAGGCCTAGAAGCTATTAACTCATTTGCCAAGCATTTCCACGGTGTTTTCTCCCCCACCCCCACTCCCACTTCCCAGATGCAGCCGCCGCATCTGGTTCCGTTTCACCCTACGCGGGTACACCGCAGCCACATTATTAAACATCCCTTTTCCTCCCCTCCCCCTCTCCTAAATTAAAACTGGGATTCTTCAACTTGTCCTTACCACTTCCCTCCCTTAGAATTTCTTGATGGGGAGAGGAGGTTTGGGGGTTGGAGGAGAAAAGAAAGTTGTCGTGGATGCCAAGTTATTGTGGATTCCACCAAACTGGTTACTCTTGACTCCTGGGGACGGCGATGGACGGTTGGGCGGAAAGGAGGTTTGGGGGGGATGGGGCCGAGCTCTCGGGTCGCCCTGGGGAACGGCCAGCGGCTGTGGGTCTGGCCCGGAGTTGGCCCTGACCTGTTTTGGAACCAGAGCTTCCCTTCCCTTTAATTATAGCTGATGCGGAGGGAGCGTCTGCCAGGTGCGGAGCCCGCAGGACCCCCTAGCGCCACGCGTCCTGGTCCCTCGAGGGGTTTCCATCCAGGATGCGGGGCGCGGCGAGTGCTGTGGCCGCGGGAGGCACCCCGGGGTCTAAGCGAGCTGTTGAGTCGCGGCCCTCAGAAACTCAAGTGTTTTGCCACTTGAAAAATGGCTATAGGTTTGAAAGCAGGGTCGGGGTACTCTGTGAGGCCGGAAAGCGTCGTGGGGTCCAAGGCTTTGGCCAAGTGGCAGGGTGCTCCTTCCCTCCAGGCTTCAGTCTTCCAAACTGAAAACACTTCTCCGGTTTTCTTCTTGGGGTGGTGGTTTTGGAGGCTGTAATGAAATCGCACTTTCTCTAGACATGGTAATTAAGGTGACTGCTTCCTTCGCAGAGGTGCCCTGCTCTTTGCACCTCCGGACCAGGGCTTTTTTTGGAATAGTATCCAAATTGTAGAACATTTGCCACGAAACGGTTGAGCAGAAAGTAGCCATCTTCCAGCCTTGGTCAGGCTCCGAGTTTCCTCTCTGGGGCTTCTTTTAAAGCTAAGTAGCAGGACCCCAGGGACAGACCGTGGTCTGGCCTATTACCCCCACGCTTGGGTGGTGTCACTTCCTTTCTGTGACCTAAGGCCAGCAAGCTCAACTAATACCCGCCTGCCTGTCTTGGTGGCTTGCCTCCCTCCTTAATGGCTTGTTTACATATTTCCCCCCAGTTGATTGGGACACCCTTGTGGGACCCTTGCTGACCCTCTGAGTGCTGGGTGTTTGGTGACTGAGAGCCTGGCCAGGGCTTGGCTCCAGCTGGGATGGTTATGTACTTCGCTGGTGTCACCTTTTTAATGAGGGTCAACTGATTGAGAGCCACATGTACTTTCAATGCCAATTTCAAGGGTAGTTTCACAATGGGGAGTCGGGCCAAACTGGGCTTCACTTTCCTTTAGTTCCAAGGTATATAGTCTTGGGATGTCACTTATCCTTGGCCTCTGACCAGCAAGCACATTGGAAGGGTCCCTTTGGTACCCCTTGAACAGCAAATGAAGCAAAGGGACAGAAGAAGTGAAGGGGACCCACAGATGTTATCACTGCCTCTGTGGATTAGAAACATCTAGACACCCTGAGTAGCTGTATTCCTGGCTACTCCAGAGGCTAAGAACGTTGAATTGAGCGATGGGTAGGCAGACTCCAACCTTGAGGACCAGGGACAATCTGTGGTTAGTGATCTACTTTATGTTTACCTGTGGTATTGACCTGAAGCAAGAGTCTTAAAAAGGCGATTTGCTCATGTGAGCTTGGGGTCTTAGCAGCAGGCTTCTCCAAAAGGCCATTTTCTTGCATTTAAAAGTGTGTGTGTGTGCGTGCATGTGTGCGTGCGTGCGTGTGTGCACATGTGTCTGCTCTTGTGAAGACCAGAGAATAACTTGCAGGAGTTGGTTCTGTCCTTCCACCATGTGGGTCCCAGGAATCTAACTCAAGTCAGTAGGCTTGGTGGCAAGCCCCCTTGTCGGATGAGCCATCTCGCTGACCCCAAAGGATTTTTTCTTTTTTTGTCTTTTTTCTTTTTTTGAGACAGGGTCTCTCTGTAGCCCCAGCTGGCCTGGAACTCTGTAGACTAGGCTGGCCTGAACTCACAGAGATCTGCTGCCTCTGCCTCCCAATACTGAGATTGAAGGTGTGGCCCATCACGCCCCGCCAAAGGACTTTTGCTAACCTCCATTTCTTTTGTATTCTCTTTCATCAAAATGGCTGTTAAAGCCCTTCCTAGGAAATCTGGTGTCACCTGTACCCTACTCCCACAAGTGGAGGCAAGACCACACCACAAACCAAGTTTGGGGCCAGTATGGGCCTCATGAGACTCTTTCATCAAAATGGCTGTTAAAGCCCTTCCTAGGAAATCTGGTGTCACCTGTAATCCCAGCACCCTACTCCGACAGGTGGAGACAAGACCACACCACAAACCAAGTTTGGGGCCAGTATGGGTCTCACGAGACCCTGTCTCAAAACAAACAAACAAACAAACAAACAAAACAAAACAAAACAAAAAGCTTCCTAGAAAGACTGGGTCTGATGCTGCTGGAGGAAAAGGAGTTAGAATAGATTCTGATGCCTTGTTCTGAAAGGGCCTCAATTCCCCTCACTTGATGAGTTTAATTTCCTCTTGGGAAATTTGACTTGCATCTCTCTTCCCTAGGGCTCCGTAAAAGGTCTAAATGTGCTAAGGACAAGTAAGAGTTCAGATGTAGAGCTTTAGAGAATGTTCTGGTGTTGGGGGGGGATTAAATGCCTCACAAGGACAGAATATTTGCTTTTCCCCTTCAAGGTTGCATTTCTTTTAAACAGGAATTCTTTGCTTGCTCACCACCACCCCTCCAGGAAGAAGCTGTGTTTGGTTTTCTCCCCAGCCCCTAAATAAATAGTGCTCTCCTGGGTAAAGAACTTCAAGAATATGGTAATACTTCATGCCTATGTTCTTTCTTCAGCCAGGTTTCCTACCTGGTTTCACTGTTTGTTTGAGCCTAGTTCGCATTATGTAGCCCAGGCTGACCTGGAAGCTGAGATCATCCTGCCTCAGCCCCCAAGTATGTGTCGTGTTGCCATACCCAGCTGTCACAAATTACTTAGTATACAAGGATATTTGGATAGTTTTCAGATATATGTACAGTTTGTTTGTTTTGGCTGTGCTGGGGATTGAACACAGGGCCTTGCATATGCTAGGCATGTAGCTCTACTCCTGAGCTAAAACCCAGCCCCTTCCCAGTCATTTGGATACTTTTTTGCAGAGATGCAAAATAAGCTAGGCCACTCTCCCTTAGCGAAGCCCACACCCATGCTCTGGGGTGTGTCTTTCTTTCTGAGAGCCTATTTCCTTCTCTTAACCCTCATGCTTAAAATATCTTTAATAAAACCCAATCCTGCTTCATAAAACACATGTAAGCAATTAGCATTTCTTTTTTATTTTATTTTTAGTGTGTATGTGTATGCGTGTATGTGCCTGTGTACATGTGTCCATCTGTGTATGAGTATACACACGTACCTTCAGAGGCCGAACTCCTGCCCTCCGCTAGAGCAGCAAGAGCCCCACAATTAGCATTTCTTTGAATCAGTTTAACTTTTGTAAGCAGAGCTACCCTAACTTTTTCAAATGTTTCTTAAAATGGAGTGCAGGACATGTAACCTGTAAAGAAGTTCAGTAAGTCATATTCCTGTCATATTCCTGTTCCGATGTCACAGTCCCCAGTTCTAGGGCCTCTATATGTTTAGAAAAATTCTCAGCTGCTATTTGGAATAGAGTACAGCTGGCTGGCAGGGGAGCTGGCTGTGGCTTTCCCCTGATAGTCTTTAATGTCTTTTTTTGCAGAATTTATACAGGTTGAGAAATCTGGACTTCTAAGTGCTCATGTTATATTGGTAGTGAGACACAGGTCATGCATGGAACGAGCCTGCAGTTTCTTAGGGAGAGAAGAGGGTGGGGAACATAAATAGCAATCTGGGAAGGTGGCGAAGGTGCTAGGG